CTGCCTATATACACCCCCTATATGCACACACACAACACTCCCTGCACCTACACACCCTGCACCTGCACACTATAGCCCCTATACATACACACTACACCCCTGCACCTACACACACTATATACACACTATACCCCCTATATACACTCTACACCCCTTGCACTCACACATACTCTATACCCCCTATACACTGCCTTCAATCACTACACACACTCTATACTCCCTATAAACACACACATTACACATCCTGCATACACACATACAAACGCACTACACACTCTATACCCCTATAAACACCCCACCACTGCAATCATACTATGCCCATATACATCTCCTGTGCATCCACTGTACCCCTATGCACACACTACTCCCCTATACACACTACACCACCTATAATTACCACACCAATACACACATGTGCACAATACCTATACGCATACACACAATGCCACCCCCTGCAACTCCTAGATACACAAAATGTAGAAATAGCTGCAAGGAAGGAAGAAAGGTCAGATAAGGAAAGAAGAGACAATTATAAGAATGAATACAAAAGAAAGTTTGTTTATTTAAGGAAGCACATTGAACGCAGGAAGAAAAAGATGACAATAAGAAAGAATATGAAATGGAAGACAGATAGATACAACTTTCAAATAATATGACGAGATAAAACTACCATGTAATAACAAAATATAATACAACTACCATAATTTGACAAAATATAATACAACTACCATGTAATAACACAACATTACACAACTACCATGTAATAACACAATATAATACAACTACCATAATATGACACAATATAATACAACTAAAATGTAATAACACAATATAATACAACAATCGTGTAATAACAAAATAGTACACAACTACTATGTAATAACACAATATAATACAAATACCATGTAATAACACAATATTACACAACTACCATGTAATAACACAATATTATACACCTACCATAATACGACAAGATATATCTACCATGTAATAACACAATATAATACAACTACCATGTAATAACACAATATTACACAACTACCATGGAATAACACAATATTATACACCTACCATAATAAGACAAGATATATCTACCATGTAATAACACAATATTATACAACTACCATGTAATAACACAATATAATACAACTACCATGTAATAACACAATATTATACAACTACCATGTAATAACACAATATAATACAACTACCATGTAATAACACAATATTATACACCTACCATAATACAACAAGATATATCTACCATGTAATAACACAATATTATACACCTACCATAATATGACACCATATAACTACCATGTAATAAGACAATATTATACAACTATCATAATATGAAAGGATATAAATACCCTAATATGACAAGATATAGCTACCATGTAATAACACAATAGTATACAACTACCATTAGGATATAATGTGATCATAATAAGATGTTGGAGGCATGTTGTTATAGGATATAATGTGATTATAATAAGATGTGGGAGACATGTTGTTACAGGATATAATGTGATTATAATAAGATGTGGGAGACATGTTGTTATAGGATATAATGTGATTATAATAAGATGTGGGAGACATGTTGTTACAGGATATAATGTGATTATAATAAGATGTGGGAGACATGTTGTTACAGGGTATAATGTGATTATAATAAGATGTGGGAGACATGTTGTTACAGGATATAATGTGATTATAATAAGATGTGGGAGGCATGCTGTGACTGGATATAATGTGATTATAATAAGATGTGGGAGGCATGTTGTTACAGGATATAATGTGATTATAATAAGATGTGGGAGGCATGTTGTTACAGGATATAATGTGATTATAATAAGATGTTGGAGGCATGTTGTTATAGGATATAATGTGATTATAATAAGATGTGGGAGGCATGCTGTAACTGGATATAATGTGATTATAATAAGATGTTGGAGACATGCTGTTACAGGATATAATGTGATTATAATAAGATGTGGGAGGCATGCTGTGACTGGATATAATGTGATTATAATAAGATGTGGGAGGCATGTTGTTACAGGATATAATGTGATTATAATAAGATGTGGGAGGCATGTTGTTACAGGATATAATGTGATTATAATAAGATGTTGGAGGCATGTTGTTATAGGATATAATGTGATTATAATAAGATGTGGGCGACATGTTGTTATAGGATATAATGTGATTATAATAAGATGTGGGAGGCATGCTGTGACTGGATATAATGTGATTATAATAAGATGTTGGAGACATGCTGTTACAGGATATAATGTGATTATAATAAGATGTGGGAGGCATGCTGTGACTGGATATAATGTGATTATAATAAGATGTGGGAGGCATGTTGTTACAGGATATAATGTGATTATAATAAGATGTGGGAGGCATGTTGTTACAGGATATAATGTGATTATAATAAGATGTGGGAGGCATGTTGTTACAGGATATAATGTGATTATAATAAGATGTGGGAGACATGTTGTTACAGGATATAATGTGATTATAATAAGATGTGGGAGACATGTTGTTACAGGATATAATGTGATTATAATAAGATGTGGGAGGCATGTTGTTACAGGATATAATGTGATTATAATAAGATGTGGGAGGCATGCTGTGACTGGATATAATGTGATTATAATAAGATGTGGGAGGCATGTTGTTACAGGATATAATGTGATTATAATAAGATGTGGGAGACATGTTGTTATAGGATATAATGTGATTATAATAAGATGTGGGAGACATGTTGTTATAGGATATAATGTGATTATAATAAGATGTGGGAGACATGCTGTTATAGGATATAATGTGATTATAATAAGATGTGGGAGACATGTTGTTACAGGATATAATGTGATTATAATAAGATGTGGGAGGCATGTTGTTATAGGATATAATGTGATTATAATAAGATGTGGGAGACATTCTGTGACTGGATATAATGTGATTATAATAAGATGTTGGAGACATGTTGTTACAGGATATAATGTGATTATAATAAGATGTGGGAGACATGTTGTTACAGGATATAATGTGATTATAATAAGATGTGGGAGGCATGCTGTGACTGGATATAATGTGATTATAATAAGATGTAGGAGACATGTTGTTACAGGATATAATGTGATTATAATAAGATGTGGGAGACATGTTGTTACAGGATATAATGTGATTATAATAAGATGTGGGAGACATGTTGTTACAGGATATAATGTGATTATAATAAGATGTGGGAGGCATGCTGTGACTGGATATAATGTGATTATAATAAGATGTAGGAGACATGTTGTTACAGGATATAATGTGATTATAATAAGATGTGGGAGACATGTTGTTACAGGATATAATGTGATTATAATAAGATGTGGGAGACATGTTGTTACAGGATATAATGTGATTATAATAAGATGTGGGAGGCATGCTGTTACAGGATATAATGTGATTATAATAAGATGTTGGAGACATGTTGTTACAGGATATAATGTGATTATAATAAGATGTGGGAGACATGTTGTTATAGGATATAATGTGATTATAATAAGATGTGGGAGACATGTTGTTATAGGATATAATGTGATTATAATAAGATGTGGGAGACATGTTGTTACAGGATATAATGTGATTATAATAAGATGTGGGAGACATGTTGTTATAGGATATAATGTGATTATAATAAGATGTGGGAGACATGTTGTTACAGGATATAATGTGATTATAATAAGATGTGGGAGGCATGTTGTTACAGGATATAATGTGATTATAATAAGATGTGGGAGGCATGCTGTGACTGGATATAATGTGATTATAATAAGATGTGGGAGACATGTTGTTACAGGATATAATGTGATTATAATAAGATGTGGGAGGCATGCTGTGACTGGATATAATGTGATTATAATAAGATGTGGGAGGCATGCTGTGACTGGATATAATGTGATTATAATAAGATGTGGGAGGCATGCTGTGACTGGATATAATGTGATTATAATAAGATGTGGGAGACATGTTGTTACAGGATATAATGTGATTATAATAAGATGTGGGAGGCATGTTGTTACAGGATATAATGTGATTATAATAAGATGTGGGAGACATGTTGTTACAGGATATAATGTGATTATAATAAGATGTGGGAGACATGTTGTTACAGGATATAATGTGATTATAATAAGATGTGGGAGACATGTTGTTACAGGATATAATGTGATTATAATAAGATGTGGGAGACATGTTGTTATAGGATATAATGTGATTATAATAAGATGTTGGAGACATGTTGTTACAGGATATAATGTGATTATAATAAGATGTGGGAGACATGTTGTTACAGGATATAATGTGATTATAATAAGATGTTGGAGACATGCTGTGACTGGATATAATGTGATTATAATAAGATGTTGGAGACATGTTGTTACAGGATATAATGTGATTATAATAAGATGTGGGAGGCATGCTGTGACTGGATATAATGTGATTATAATAAGATGTGGGAGGCATGCTGTGACTGGATATAATGTGATTATAATAAGATGTGGGAGACATTCTGTGACTGGATATAATGTTAATATATTAATATTTATTGTTATAATATAATATAATGAAGGACTGGCAGACTTTGCCCTCTTCCATGATGGCGCTGGGAGCCTCCAGCAGGTCACATCGTTGCACCGCCTCCACCTTAACACGCTCCGCTCATTGGCTGTAGTTCTGTGACGTCACGATGAGCTCGGGGAGAGTGAAGTTCACTCAGATAGTTCAGAGTCTGCTGGGAGCCGGGCAGCTACCGGGGCAACAGCGGACTTACTGCCCTCCCTGGGGGTAACAGCGGACATACTGCCCTCCCTGGGGGTAACAGCGGACATACTGCCCTCCCTGGGGGTAACTGCGGACTTACTGCCCTCCCTGGGGGTAACAGCCGACTTACTGCCCTCCCTGGGGGCAACTGCGGACTTACTGCCCTCCCTGGGGGCAACTGCGGACTTACTGCCCTCCCTGGGGGTAACAGCCGACTTACTGCCCTCCCTGGGGGCAACTGCGGACTTACTGCCCTCCCTGGGGGTAACAGCGGACATACTGCCCTCCCTGGGGGTAACAGCCGACTTACTGCCCTCCCTGGGGGGTAACAGCGGACATACTGCCCTCCCTGGGGGTAACAGCCGACTTACTGCCCTCCCTGGGGGTAACAGCGGACATACTGCCCTCCCTGGGGGTAACAGCCGACTTACTGCCCTCCCTGGGGGTAACAGCCGACTTACTGCCCTCCCTGGGGCTAACAGCGGACATACTGCCCTCCCTGGGGCTAACAGCGGACCTACTGCCCTCCCTGGGGGTAACAGCGGACATACTGCCCTCCCTGGGGGTAACAGCGGACATACTGCCCTCCCTGGGGCTAACAGCGGACATACTGCCCTCCCTGGGGCTAACAGCGGACATACTGCCCTCCCTGGGGGTAACAGCGGACTTACTGCCCTCCCTGGGGGCAACTGCGGACCTACTGCCCTCCCTGGGGGCAACTGCGGACATACTGCCCTCCCTGGGGGTAACAGCCGACTTACTGCCCTCCCTGGGGGTAACAGCCGACTTACTGCCCTCCCTGGGGGTAACAGCGGACATACTGCCCTCCCTGGGGGTAACAGCGGACATACTGCCCTCCCTGGGGGTAACAGCGGACATACTGCCCTCCTAGGGCAGGATCCCCATCTTGGGGCAGCAGCGGACATTTCTCTCCAGGGGTAACTGTGGACTGACACCCTCCCTGGGGTCAAATCCCTGATACCCTTGGATAGAATGAGGTAAATGGCATCCTGTGCCTGGGGGCAATAACTGTCAGCTCAGAGAGCAGGGGCAGTAATGGGGTACAGAGGGGGCAATTCATAGATCAGAAAATTATCTTATTATAACCGTAGGGTAATAGCTATTGATTAGGATTAAGGGTTAATATATTGGGTATTGATTAGGATTATGGTGCCCGGGTTCAAATTATGATGTTATTAATTAGGATCAGGGTCTCCAGGTTCATATAATAGCTATTGATTAGGATCAGGGGATCCGGGTTCATATAATAACTATTGATTAGGGTCAGGTTGTTTGGGTTCATATAATAACTATTGATTAGGGTCAGGGTGTCTGGGTTTATGTTGTAATGTTATTGATTAGGATCAGGGTATCCAGGTCCATACACTAGCATTACTGATTAGAGTTACGGGAAGTTTTATTAAATCCTACTAAAAATTTGAATTTAAAAAGCTAAAGTACTGAATTGCCCCCTTTATAATGGAAGATCATTACTAGTTTGCCACATTTATATGTAGGACTCTGATCTGAACAGTTTTTGCTCCTCGGATACTTTCCAGCCATAACAATGAGGCTAACGTTGCACAAGAAGAAGATCGCCGCCCTGGTGTTTGTCCTTGGTATGGCACTTTGTGTCTGGCTGCTTTTCTTTCACACAGGCGATGATTCAGACGCAGTGTTAAAGCTTCCCTACCCAACCTCATGGCAAAACACGTATGGACTGCCTGATGGTTCCCCTGAGGTGATGAGACTGGCTTCGTACCGGATCAACCTGCGCCAACTAGTGTTAAATAAAGAACATTTTCGTGGCCCATCACACCTTGTAGTTGTGGTGCAGGTGCGAGGAGGTCCAGGCAGTGGCTCACGCCTTCGGCTTTTAGCAGAGTCCTTGCGGGCAGCTGGACCTGGGGCCACCAGCCGCCTTCTACTAGTGTTGAGCATTGAGAAGCCTTGTGTAGAGGTATATGAAGCCATGACTTCCATAGACTTCTGTCGGGTAATTCCCATATTCTACCCATACAGCCTGAGCTTTTATCCTAATGAATTTCCTGGAGCGGACCCCGCAGACTGTTTCCGAGATCTCCCCAAGGAATCCGCCAAATTGAAAGGTTGCAATAATGCAGAGTTTCCTGACAGCTACGGACATTACAGGGAAGCCGCATTTACTGTGGACAAGCACCACTGGTTGTGGAAACTTCACTATACATGGGAGAAATTGCAAGAAGTGAGCGGGTACAGTGGATACGCACTTTTCTTAGATGAAGGTACCTACCTGCTTCCAGACTGGCTGCATGTGTTGCGTCTAATGCAGAAGCAGTGCCAGGAGGAAGGATGCCATTTACTAAGTCTTGGGGGCACCACCAACTCTGAATTATCACCAAACCCGCCAGACGTGGAAGTGAGTAGCTGGTTGGCACCGAAACATCGATCAGCGATTGCAATGTCACGGGAGCTGTACTATAAACTGATGGGCTGCCTGGCAGAGTTCTGCACCTATGATGATTACAATTGGGATTGGAGTTTACAGCATGTGTCTGCGTCTTGTCTTGCCCACCCTCTAAGGGTTTTATCTACTTTGTTGCCTAGAGTACTCACCCTTCCTGCTAAGGAGGAAGATGGTGTATGTGGGCACACTGGACCCTGCGAGAGCTCTGAGGGTGCCTCTGAACTTCTGAGAGTGCGAGTAAGGGAGCTGAGTGGTCGGCTCTTCCCAAAGACGCTGGCTGTAACCTCTCGGCAGCAAGACGTGCGCAATCCACCCCAAAGAAAGAACGGTGGCTGGGGTGATATCCGAGATCACGCGCTATGCCAGTCACATGCCAGGCTGTAACGTGCCAACCTTTCCTCGTGTGACGGTCATCATTTTCGGTGCCTCTTTGCACTCAGGAAAGTGCTAAATAAATAAAGACCAAAGTTCAAAAGGTTTCTCAGGAATTGTAAGAAACGTTTATCACTAGTTCTGGAAAATATGTAACTTTTACCTGATATGCTGCTTTTTATTTTATTTTTCACATTTTGTCTTGTGGTGGTTGTAAATCACATTTGCTTTGTCTCAGATTTTTACCATTTTTCTTGTGTTTTGGATTATTTAGTAAACAAAATAGTGGAGAATTCACAAGGGAATTTCTACAGCCTTAATTTTTTTTTATTTTTTTTTAAATCAGTATTTCCCTTGTTAGTTTTCCTCAATTTCAGGTTTACTGAATACATGTTTTGTTGTGGGGGTTGACATTGTATTTGAATTATAAATGATCATGTTTTGCATACAGAAAAAGCACAGGAAACCAAGACCAAATAATAATTTTTCTACACCGGTTTTGTGCCTTGTAACTCACAGTATATGTTTAATGTGATCAGGAGCTGTATTTTTTTATATAATTAATATATTTTATATGTAATCTGTGCTCTTAATGTAAAATTAGCTTGACAATGCTGCAGTATATATTGGTGCCATATAAGTAATTGCAATGTCGGCTTTTCCTAAGCCTCTTTCTGATCAGTAATCGACAAAATTGTGCATTTTATTTGTTTTCTCTGCCAAGCGCAGATTGGATTTTAAGGGATTTATTTGATTAATAGTGAAAAAAATGAGTTTGATTTGGGCCACAATAGTTTTCAAATTCCTCTATATTTTAGCTTCACTATTGTTTTACGGTTTGTACATTTATTTTCCAGTTTACCAGAATTAAACAAACACTGCAGGCACCATAACTGCTTCAATTTAATGAAGGGATTATGGTACCCAGAGCCTGTAGAGATAGGGGCATACCGTCTTTTTCCGAAAATAAGACTGATATTCTCCCCCACTAGGGCTTATTTTCGGGGGATGTGTTATTTTGGGGGGGAGGGAGGGGGGGGAAATGGTAGCAAGCATGTACCATAAAGCAGGTCTACGTTTTGGGGATTTTCCCCTGAACATAGGCCAGTTCACTAACGCATGGAATCCCGCGAATATATGTTCTGGGGAACTTCCCTGAACATAGATTAGCGAGCTAGCAACTAGGGCTTATTTTTGGGGTAGGGTTTATATTACGAGCATCATAGCCAGACTGTTTATTTACAGTTAACCTGGCAGGCTACAGCCCATGCGGCACCGTAAACCATATTACTTCTTCCCAGTGATTGGGACAGTGATAATCTGGTATGGCGTAAAGTGAAGCACAGCTCTGCTATTTAATTGTTGGGGCTAGCCTGCAGGCTGCCATGGCCAGGCATTTCTGCTAAATCAGTTAAAGTGGTTATGGTGCCTACACTTGCTATTATTGCTTATTGAATAAATCTGTTGGCTCAGTTAAATTCCATATTTTTTACATGTTTGATTTTATGCCCCTTTTTTTTTTTTCTTGCTGCTGACCAAACACAAATGTCCCTCCATGTCTGACTGTATTTATTGGAGTGCCATTTCATGCGTTATCTATGAATAGCTGCAATTCTGATGTTTAAATGTGTCGCTCTAATTATGCAACATATATATTTTCATATGGCCTGTAGTGAATTGAGACAGGTTAATAGTATAAGGAGGCTGATGTCTGTAAAGAACCACATGTCTGCATTAATTCATCTTAAATGCATGCTTTCTATATATCATTTATATTTCATGTGTAATTTACAAAATAAAAAGTACTAGAACGGGAAAATCCAGCTGTGTCACTTAACACGCTGTGGACTCTGGAGTGCATGCAGATCGTCATGTGAGATCCACCCCCCACATATGGAACGCTACAAATGACCTAGCTGCAGTTTTAGAATATTTGTCAGTCCGGGCATAGGAATAGCCTGATCCTTCCCAGGGGCTGTGACGCTGCCCATCAGGGACCGACCGCTCTGCACTAGACCATTTTATGTTTAATGTTAACCCTTTGAGAGCCACAGGTGTTCCCACCACATTCACTGGCATTGGGTGCGCACGTCTGGCCCCTAGAGGGTTACGTTTCCTGTTACCTTACTATGCAGTACTCATGTGAGTGAATTGTACAGATCACAGGGTTTAACAGTTTCTTTATTTTTTTATAAACTTTTTGAATATGTTTATTTTTATTTTTTTTCTACCTTGCTGTTTTTTGTGTCTGGTTTTTTCCACTATGGGACGGGTGGAAAGTATTTAATTTTTCCAGTTAGATTTGAACAGCTGTACTGGGGGGTTAGAGGATTACTCTATAGTCTTAGCCATTCCCAGGTAGAGATACTTTCCTTTGATTTGAAGATCATTCTCTGTGATGGGTTTGTTTGCTCAGTTCATTCATAGTCTAACGCCAGAAGTATTAACTGTTCGATAATCTGCAGGTTAACCCCCTTAAGGACACATGACATGTGTGACATGTCATGATTCCCTTTTATTCCAGAAGTTTGGTCCTTAAGGGGTTTAAACGCGGAGTGTTAGAGCTCCATCAAGCAGCACAGGGTACTTCCCACTGTGAACAAGGGATTTAAAGGATAACAATACATGCTGGTGTATGGACACAAGCTTGACATTCAGGAAATGTTTTTTATTTTGTCACCGACCCATCCTGTTCTGCAGCATAGCTTTTACTGACAGGTTTACTGCGTCATGGACAATCTGCCCCCCCCAAAGGATTGTAATGGTTAATTTTTATGATGGTGTGTGGCTTTTAATACATTATTTTGTATGATAAATATAAATCTATAAAATCTCATTTCCAAATCCTTGATACCTTGCTTTGTAAGATTATTTACAATGAAAATACTCTTGAAGTTCCATAATTGATTCATGAAAGGTTTGCGGTGTTAAAAGTAAACCTGTTTCATTGATTAAATCCGTTTTAAAGTCATTATTGTGTTTTTTCTTTCATTGCGTTTTTGTAACTGTAGCATGTGAATTCTGCATACCACATATTTGTCCATCAGTGGTAAAACGCCACTTCTGTCCTATAATACGTTGAATCTGTCACCCTAACAGAAAGCTGCACCCCTTTTGGTCCCCCATTGCCCTAATAGTGCTCTGTTCTGGCCCCAGTTCCCTTCCTGATCTCCGCTTCAGTCCCCAGCTCAATGATGCCAGAACTTTGAAACTGGTATAAATAGATCCTCCCCCTTCCCATCAGGCAGTCTTTATTATCTAGCGTCACAACTCCTATAGTATATGGGTGGGAACGTAATGCTGCCATGAATAAGTATCAGGAAAAGAAAATTACGGTAAGTAAGTAACAATTGTCCTTTTTCCTGACCATTATTCAAGGCAGCATTTACTCATGGGGAATACCCAAGCAGTATATATATATATATAGAGGGGGGGGGGGACAGAGTTCAAAAACAGCTAATAGCTATAAAACCATTATGGAGCTGTATAAATATTAGAAGACTTTACAAAGCCAAACAAGAATTAATAGGAAATTGTCATAAAATCTGCTCAGACAAGATAATTTACCCTAAAGGCTGCAAGGTCAGCAACCTCCTGGCATTCAATATCTGAAATATCCTGAATAAATATAGAGAGTCAGATAGGAATTAAGACCATGATAGCATAAGCTAGAGAAGGAAAATGTCATTCTGATATAAAATTTAAAACCAAATTGATATCATCAAAATCAGAACCTTGACAAAGGCATAACTTCCAGAGATCATACTGGAACAAGCAGATAATGTTGGATGAGAACAGACACCCCATGCTATTAAACACGGGGAGAATTACACTGAGAATCCTACTACTTACTGGATGTATTTATTAAATACGATTCACACTGCTTCCTCTTGCCTTGTGAACTACTTACCTGAAGATACAGGAACAAATCAATATCTGCCTGTCAGAAAGAGGCAGAGCCTAGTAGAGAAATAAGAGTCTGTTATTAAAACATTGACCTGATGTTGCTAAATTCAGATTCACGACAATACATCACACCGTGGATGAATTGATAAAGCAATGATCAATCACAGGAGAGGAATAAACCAATAACATTACTAGGCAAAGGCAAAAAGAATCATACACAGATTAGTTGAGGAAAAAAGAAATCTCGGTATGAACTGTAGAATTTGTGGCAACTACTAAATTATAAGGAGGCCAACTACATCAGTACCTATATTTGTAAATAGTACGGATTATGCCAAACAGTATAATCAAATTTATTAGAGACTGTTGTGCAACATAAGTAAGAGATATATATAATAGGCAAGATACTAATGGGAAGGTGGTAACCAGAGGCACATTATACATTGTGACAGCAGACATAATAAGCAGGATAGTAGGAGATATTAAGTTATCCTTCTGAGAACAACAACCGCATACTTACTCTTACTTTATCTTAACTCATACATAGAGCATATAGTGGATACATATACTGAGGCAGAGTCCTCGTAGTAACTCATACATAGAGCATATAGTGGGTACATATACTGAGGCTGTGTCCTCACGGTTACTCATACATAGAGCATATAGTGGAAATATACTGAGACTGTGTCCTCACGGTAACTCATACATAGAGCATATAGTGGGTACATATACTGAGGCTGTGTCCTCACGGTAACTCATACATAGAGCATATAGTGGAAATATACTGAGACTGTGTCCTCATAGTAACTCATACATAGAGCATATAGTGGGTACAAATACTGAGGCTGTGTCATAGTAACTCCTATAGAGAGCATATAGAGGATACTTATACTGAGGCGATGTCCTTACAGTAACTCTTACATACAGCATATAGTGGATATATATACTGAGGCCGTGTCCTCATAATAACTTATACCAAGAGCATATAGTGGGTACATATACTGAGGCTGTGTGCTCACAGTAACTCATACATAGAGCATATAGTGGGTACATATACTGAGGCCGTGTCCTCATAATAACTTATACCAAGAGCATATAGTGGGTACATATACTGAGGCAGTGTCCTCATAGTAACCTATACATAGAGTATATAGTGGATATATACTGAGGCTGTGTCCTCATAGTAACTCATACATACAGCACATAGTGGGTACATATACTGAGGCCGTGTCCTCACAGTAACTCATACATAGAGCATATAGTGGGTACATATACTGAGGCTGTGTCCTCATAGTAACCTATACATAGAGTATATAGTGGATATATACTGAGGCTGTGTCCTCATATTAACTCATACATAGAGCATATAGTGGGTACATATACTGAGGCTGTGTTCTCACAGTAACTCATACATAGAGCATATAGTGGGTACATATACTGAGGCTGTGTTCTCACAGTAACTCATACATAGAGCATATAGTGGGTACATATACTGAGGCTGTGTCATAGTAACTCATACATAGAGCATATAGTGGGTACATATACTGAGGCTGTGTCCTCATAATAACTCATACATAGAGCATATAGTGCGTACATATACTGAGGCCGTGTCCTCACAGTAACTCATACATAGAGCATATAGTGCGTACATATACTGAGGCCGTGTCCTCACAGTAACTCATACATAGAGCATATAGTGGGTACATATACTGAGGCTGTGTTCTCACAGTAACTCATACATAGAGCATATAGTGGGTACATATACTGAGGCTGTGTCATAGTAACTCATACATAGAGCATATAGTGGGTACATATACTGAGGCTGTGTTCTCACAGTAACTCATACATAGAGCATATAGTGGGTACATATACTGAGGCCGTGTCCTCATAATAACTTATACCAAGAGCATATAGTGGGTACATATACTGAGGCAGTGTCCTCATAGTAACCTATACATAGAGTATATAGTGGATATATACTGAGGCTGTGTCCTCATAGTAACTCATACATACAGCACATAGTGGGTACATATACTGAGGCTGTGTCCTCACAGTAACTTATACATAGAGCATATAGTGGGTACATATACTGAGGCTGTGTCCTCATAGTAACCTATACAAACAGGGAGTGCAGAATTATTAGGCAAATGAGTATTTTGACCACATCATCCTCTTTATGCATGTTGTCTTACTCCATGCTGTATAGGCTCGAAAGCCTACTACCAATTAAGCATATTAGGTGATGTGCATCTCTGTAATGAGAAGGGGTGTGGTCTAATGACATCAACACCCTATATCAGTTGTGCATAATTATTAGGCAACTTCCTTTCCTTTGGCAAAATGGGTCAAAAGAAGAACTTGACAGGCTCAGAAAAGTCAAAAATAGTGAGATATCTTGCAGAGGGATGCAGCACTCTTAACATTGCAAAGCTTCTGAAGCGTGATCATCGAACAATCAAGCGTTTCATTCAAAATAGTCAACAGGGTCGCAAGAAGCGTGTGGAAAAACCAAGGCGCAAAATAACTGCCCATGAACTGAGAAAAGTCAAGCGTGCAGCTGCCACGATGCCACTTGCCACCAGTTTGGCCATATTTCAGAGCTGCAACATCACTGGAGTGCCCAAAAGCACAAGGTGTGCAATACTCAGAGACATGGCCAAGGTAAGAAAGGCTGAAAGACGACCACCACTGAACAAGACACACAAGCTGAAACGTCAAGACTGGGCCAAGAAATATCTCAAGACTGATTTTTCTAAGGTTTTATGGACTGATGAAATGAGAGTGAGTCTTGATGGGCCAGATGGATGGGCCCGTGGCTGGATTGGTAAAGGGCAGAGAGCTCCAGTCCGACTCAGACGCCAGCAAGGTGGAGGTGGAGTACTGGTTTGGGCTGGTATCATCAAAGATGAGCTTGTGGGGCCTTTTCGGGTTGAGGATGGAGTCAAGCTCAACTCCCAGTCCTACTGCCAGTTCCTGGAAGACACCTTCTTCAAGCAGTGGTACAGGAAGAAGTCTGCATCCTTCAAGAAAAACATGATTTTCATGCAGGACAATGCTCCATCACACGCGTCCAAGTACTCCACAGCGTGGCTGGCAAGAAAGGGTATAAAAGAAGAAAATCTAATGACATGGCCTCCTTGTTCACCTGATCTGAACCCCATGTGGTCCATCATCAAATGTGAGATTTACAAGGAGGGAAAACAGTACACCTCTCTGAACAGTGTCTGGGAGGCTGTGGTTGCTGCTGCACGCAATGTTGATGGTGAACAGATCAAAACACTGACAGAATCCATGGATGGCAGGCTTTTGAGTGTCCTTGCAAAGAAAGGTGGCTATATTGGTCACTGATTTGTTTTTGTTTTGTTTTTGAATGTCAGAAATGTATATTTGTGAATGTTGAGATGTTATATTGGTTTCACTGGTAATAATAAATAATTGAAATGGGTATATATTTGTTTTTGTTAAGTTGCCTAATAATTATGCACAGTAATAGTCACCTGCACACACAGATATCCCCCTAACATAGCTATAACTAAAAACAAACTAAAAACTACTTCCAAAAATATTCAGCTTTGATATTAATGAGTTTTTTGGGTTCATTGAGAACATGGTTGTTGTTCAATAATAAAATTAAACCTCAAAAATACAACTTGCCTAATAATTCTGCACTCCCTGTAGAGTATATAGTGGATATATAATGAGGCTGTGTCCTCATAGTAACTCATACATAGAGCATATAGTGGGTACATATACTGAGGCCGTGTCCTCAGAGTAACTCATACATAGAGCATATAGTGGGTACATATACTGAGGCTGTGTTCTCACAGTAACTCATACATAGAGCATATAGTGGGTACATATACTGAGGCTGTGTCATAGTAACTCATACATAGAGCATATAGTGGGTACATATACTGAGGCTGTGTTCTCACAGTAACTCATACATAGAGCATATAGTGGGTACATATACTGAGGCTGTGTCCTCATAGTAACTCATACATAGAGCATATAGTGGGTACATATACTGAGGCTGTGTCCTTACAGTAACTCATACATACAGCATATAGTGGGTACATATAGTGAGGCTGTGTCCTCACAGTAACTCATACATAGAGCCTATAGTGGGTGCATATACTGAGGCTGTGTCCTCACAGTAACTCATACATAGAGCCTATAGTGGGTGCATATACTGAGGCTGTGTGCTCACAGTAACTCATACATACAGTATATAGTGGGTACATATACTGAGGCTGTGTGCTCACAGTAACTCATACATACAGTATATAGTGGGTACATATACTGAGGCTGTGTCCTCACAGTAACTCATACATACAGCATATAGTGGGTACATATACTGAGGCTGTGTCCTCATAGTAACTCATACATAGAGCATATAGTGGATACATATACTGAGGCCGTGTCCTCATTGTAACTCATACATAGAGCATATAGTGGGTACATATACTGAGGCTGTGTGCTCACAGTAACTCATACATACAGCATATAGTGGGTACATATACTGAGGCTGTGTCCTCATTGTAACTCATACATACAGCATATAGTGGCTACATATACTGAGGCCGTGTCCTCACAGTAACTCATACATACAGCATATAGTGGATACATATACTGAGGCTGTGTCCTCATAGTAACTCATACATAGAGCATATAGTGGATACATATACTGAGGCCGTGTCCTCATTGTAACTCTTACATAGAACCTATAGTGGATATATATATATACTGAGGCTGTGTCCTCCTAGTAACTCATACATAGAGCCTATAGTGGGTACATATACTGAGTCTGTGTCCTCCTAGTAACTCATACATAGAGCATATAGTGGACACACACTGAGACTTCATACCAATTCATACATTAGAGCATATAGTGGAAACATACCGATGCTGTACCACCACCAGATCATGTACAGATACTGAGGCCCTGTGGTCTCCTGTGCAGTATATTCTTCCACTGTCTGCAAAGCCTGCTTATTTGTGATAATGCACAGATAACAGCAATCAATGCCACATACCTTGATAGAAACAAGTGTGTATGTGGACTTAGAGTTGGGTTTTTAAAACCTGTCATATACATGTGTGTACTTCAATCAGACACCCAAGAAGGTTTTCTTACCTTGGATATTATTCTGTCTTCAGGCTGTGGAATTCCAGCAGACTTTATACAGCCAGGATATCCATTATTAGCACTCTTTTTCACAGTGTCTCATTGCATTATCAGCACTCTTTTTGCATTATCAGCATAGGCGTGCGCAGCCTGTTGCATTAGGGTGTGCACCCTAAAGCACAAACACACACGCCGCGTGTATATGCATTTTTATATACACATACACACACATACATATACATACATACATACACACATATATGTATACAAATACAAATATACATAGGTGCAGTGTGTGTGTGTGATTGTGACCGGAGCAGCGTGTAAGGGGTGCAGTGTGTGTGATTGCGAGGGGTACAGTGTGTGTGTAATTGTGAAAGGTACAGTGTGGTGTAATTGTGAAGGGTGCCGTGTGTGTGATTGTGAGGGGTACAGTGTGTGTAATTGTGAGGGATTCAGTGTGTGTGTGGGGTACAGTGTGTATGATTGTGAGGGATGCAGTGTGTGGGGGGTACAGTGTGTGTAATTGTAAGGGGTACAGTGTGTGTAATTGTGAGGGGTACAGTGTGTGTAATTGTGAGGGATGCAGTGTGTGTGGGGTACAGTGTGTGGGTTAGGGGGGTAGATGGGTAGTGACAGGGGTTAGGGGGCTAGAGAGGCAGTGACAGGGGTTAGGGGGCTAGGAGGGCAGTGACAGGGGTGGGGGTGAGGGGCAGGTGGGGGAGGAGGGGCAGTGACAGGGGTTAGGGGTGGAGAGGCAAATGACAGGGGTTAGGGGCTAGAGGGCAGTGATCTGGAGGTTGGGGGGTAGAGGGGTAGTGACAGGGGTTAGGGAGGTAGTGACAAGGGTTAGGGGGGGTAGAGGGCAGTGACAGGGGTTAGGGGAAGTGACAGGGGTTAGGGGGCAGGAGGGGCAGTGACAGGGGTTGGGGCAGTGACAGGGCTGCAGTGAGGCAGTGACAGGGGTTGGGGGTAGGACAGGGGATAGGGGCAAAGACAGGGGTTAGGGGAAGACAGGGGTTAGCAGAGGGCAGTGACAGGGTTGGGGGGTAGTGACAGGGTTTGGGGCGAGGGTTAGTGACAGGGGTTAGGGGTAGTGACAGGGGTTGGGGTAGAGGGGCAGGCAGGGGGTAGGGTAAAGGTGAGTGACAGGGGGTAGAGGGGAGGTGGGGGGGCAGTGAGTGACAGGGGGCAGAGGGGGGTTTAAATACCTTCCCTGGTAGTCCAGTGTGCGTCCTCTCTCTTCAGTCTGCAGCTCTGCCGGGAGTGAGCTGCAGACCACATGGTGAGTCTCGCGATCTCCAGGCAGAGCATTGCCATGGTAACGCTGGAGATCGCAAGACACCTCAGTCTGCAGCTCACTCCCAGCGGAGCTGCAGACTGAGGCTGGATCTCCATCAGGGCAGACTGACAGGAGGGGCCTTGCACCCGGCGGCATTGTGGGCAAGCCGCCGGGCTCTCTCCTGTGTCGGGTGACCCGACATGTTAGTCTGCCCAAAGGTAGTGCAGCACGGAGGTGTGATTAGGGTGTGCCCAGGCACACCCGGCACACCCCGTGCGCACGCCTATGATTATCAGCATTACTTTGCCCAATGCATACTTGCATTATCAGCACTCTTTTGCACCAAACATCCTTGTATAAACTTACCTAAATGCTCACCACACAAATCTCCTATTTGTTAGAAGGAAGCCTAATGTAAGCAGCTGGGAGGGACCCAGGTGCCTATACTAGTTTTAATCTAAATTACTAATGCACTTACCTGAACTGTTGCAGGCCTGTGTTTCAGCGGCAAAATGGGGATTTGAACAACTGACAGCCTAAACTGTTTAAACTATTGGCTTCCATTTGTTCCCCATATGCCGTTCATCATCACCATACAAGGGGGAATACATAGAATAGGTATACCCCGGTAGTCACAACTCTGTTGGGCCTCATGTATGCAGTGTACCGTTGTCATCCCCTCAGGGAGAGAGATAGGTTAGACTCCTGATTGCTGAAGGAGGTAACCAGACTGGCAACTCTTACACATGTGCTGTTTGTTGGGTCTTCAGGGATAAGGGCTTAGACTCAACTGGGCCTCATGTATGCAGTGGACTACTGCCATCACTTCCGAGAGAGACAGGACAGACCCCTGGTTGCTGAAGTAGGAACCCAGGCTGACAACTCTTACCGATATGCTGTTTGCTGGGTCTTCAGGGATAAGAGGCTGAACCCTGGCCTGGTATTATGTAGGCAGTATATCACATTCATCCCCTGAGGGGGTACCCAAGCTGGCCTGTTACTGGGTCTTCAGGGATAAGAGGCTGAACCCTGGCCTGGCTTCATGTAGGCAGTACATCACATACATCCCCTGAGGGGGTACCCAAGCTGGCCTGTTACTGGGTCTTCAGGGATAAGAGGCTGAGCCTGGCATGCAGTGGACCATTTTCATCCCTTTCAGGGAGAGGTTGGGTCCGACCCCCGGTCACTAAAGGGGGTACCCAGGCTTGCCACTTCATCTTAGTGCGTTTTGCTGGGTCTTCAGGGCTTAGAGGCTGAACCCCGGCAGGGCCTAAAAAATATTGCCTGGTGAACATAAAATAAAAAATCTAGGCCTGCTTAATCAGACTCCTTCCAAACTGCTGTGAAAGACAGGAAAAAAGACTGTCTAATGGGAAGGTGGAGGACCTATTTATACCAGTTTTAAAGTTCTGTTTCCTGTCCTTTCTGCCGTGAGGGGAGGAGCTAACCCATGAGTAAATGCTGCCATGAATAATGGTCAGGAAATATATTTATAAGTGAAAAATGTATTGAGCAAACCAATCAAGAGTGCAATTAACAAATCTAGTGAAACAAACATGATCAGAGTTAACTATCTCATTACTGCTTCTAAGGAGTGTCTGAAAGATACAAATTTTAATTATTATTTTTTTTTTATAAACTAATTTCTTAATGGTACATCGACAATATAAATAACTATATGTGCCATACAGAACAAAAAGAACAATCTAGTAATATCAGCATAAGTAAGTCTATACAAATAGAATGGGAGAGTAACTTAAATCCACAAACGAATTTGTACAAAAACAAAACAATGCAAATATCTCTGTATGTATCACAGTATCTTAGTAGGTGTTAATAAAGTATTGTTATG